AAAGCTGGAAGCAAAATTGGTAATTTTAACAGTTGCTTAAGAAGCAATTTTTCCTTCTTTAGTTTTGCTTTCTGCACAACAGAGCAGACTTGATTACTGCAGATCAGCTGACATACAAGAAATCAACCCCTTTCCCTCCCTGCAACCTCTCTCAACTTGGTATAATTTGTTCATCTGTCCACAGCCTTTTAAAAGGTATTTTTGGCCTTTGATTATTGGAGACGTTTACATGCCAAAGGCTTGAGTCTCTTCTCCTGCTGCCTCCTGTCATTTAACTTTCCAGAATACATTGGAGCTTCTCTTGCCTTAAGTTGGTGAAAAAAAGAAATGAATGAAGCCTTATGTATTTGAACAGTTTTTAATCAAACTGGATGTAATTTGTGAGCTCTGGGCAGATGGCCAGTACAGGTCTGCAACTAGATGAAGTTTGGACCTCTTCAATGCAGTCCTTACTAAAGTCTGTTGGAAGTACAGGTCAAAACAAGCCATTTTGGTATCCTGAACCACAGCCAAATTGCAGGGTCTGGAAGGGATACAGACAGCCTAGCCTTGAAGCCTGAAATATTTAGGTTGGGAGCTGTCTGGCATCTATAGTGTGAACCTCTAAAGCTGCTAGGTCTAATGGCTTGCTCTTTGCCCTACAGTACAAGTGGGTGGAGAAGCATTTGGGACCAGAGTTTGTGGATCGACTGATTTTGACCAGGGATAAGACCATTGTATCAGCCGACCTGCTGTTTGATGACAAGGACACCATTCAAGGTTTGGGAAACTTAAGGGAGAAAGTTCACATGTGATGTACTGCTGCTTGGGAAGGACAAAGATGACTGACTTCAGCTTCTCCCTTGCTCTTCTCAGGTGTGGAGCCTAATCCAAGCTGGGAACACATCCTGTTCACTTGCTGCCATAACAAGCACTTGGAGCTTAAGCCACCACATAGGCGGCTGCAGTCATGGGCCGATGACTGGAGAGCAATATTGGAAAGCAAACGCAGGAAGTAATGGAGAAGGGAAACAGTGCTGTTCACATCGCAGATGGAAACAGCTGGGTTGTGAACTGGCATTCAAGTCCCTTTTGAGGGAATCACTTTGACATAGCTCAGGCAGCACCAAGGGCTGACGATACTAAATGGGGAATGACTCACAAACTTTGAGTCATCACAGATGTGCATCTCCTTCAAACTTTCTGGAACACTTGCCCTATTAAATTATTTCACCTTGTCAGAGAGTTGTTATTGAGCCAGAGGGGGAATCCTTCACAAGAGGAGCAGCAGCTGCTTGTACCCAGTACTGTGTTCTGGGATGCTTGGGTGAAGGAGGCAGGGCACTGAACCCCCAGTTACATATCCTGCCGCCCACCATGCCGTGACAGGTGTGGATGTAAGAAAGTCATGTTTAACAGCATTGGCATTTTAATGATCTCATTTACTGGTCAGAACTTATTTGGCAGCTTACCCTCTACCAGACATGACCTGCTTTGTATTAAATATTTGCTCTCGCAGCCCAGCTCCCTCCCTGCCTCTTTCCAAACAAAGCTACTTCCATCTGAATGGTTTTCACCCCTTCTACTTGGTTTCATCCCTCTGGTCTGTGCCCAGCAGCTGTAGGCAGGCTCTGAAGACAGGGCCAGCTCTCTCAGTTACTACCCCAAGCTGCTTGCTCTGCTCTGTGCTGCTTCAGTCCTTTGGGAGGGGGATCCCTACCGCGGTGTGTTTGCTTAGGCTCCTGGCCTCCTCAACCTGCACAGGTGTACAGTAGTCATCGAGGAAGACCACTGCCAGATTGCTCAACCTCCTGTTGGTAGAAAGGGAGAAACGCAACATGCACTCCACCACAGGGAGAGCTGTGATCTGTGGGCGAGACTGCGGCGTGGTCAGGTACATCAGCGTAGTGACTGCCGACATCACCGTCTCCTCATTCGAACTGGATAAGCAGTTTATGATAGGCTGCACCCCATTGGCCTCCAAGATATAGTCCTTGTTGGTTTTATCCAGGCAGAGGTTACAAAGACCACCTGAAATAGAGAGGACGCGTCTAGCATCTGCTAGCAACACCTTACCTCTGACGTTGAAGTTTCAAGTGCATTGGTGAAACCAGGCTGCTCACTTCTTTTGTAAGGCTTATCTACATGTGAACTCAGATGAAAATGCCTAAATCGTAACATGTTTTAGTTTGGTGAAAGTTTGGGTAAGAACATGCCTATATTTGGGGGTGGAGGGCAGGGGAAGTTACCCGAGATACCTTGCTTTAGCTGCTATTGACTTAGGCCTATCCTTCAGGGAGACTTTCCTCTAGAGCAGTGAGAGACAAACCTTTCAGCCAGCTAAATCCTGGGGATGAAATGTTCTAATAATGCAATAGCAATTGTATAAAGTACATAAAATCCCTAAGGCTAAGCAAGGGTTTACACATCATTGACACCCAGATCCCAATATAGAAAGAAACGCTCAGAACGTTGTTTTACAAGCATTAACATGGTGTATATCATCTGCCTCCTGGTCTGAATTTACTCTCACGTCCTTCCTCAAAGAGAGTTTTCAACCAAAACACTTGCTCTTCTCTATGGCATTAGGGGGCACTGTGCTGTCAGAGGTAACGTCTTTTTCATAAGAGAGACACAGAACCCTGGTCACTAGAAATCTCATGGCAACTTTTACAAATAGAGGGCTAACAGTCCTAAGAGTTCAATTGAGCAGTTATCCTGTTTCATCCCAGAGATGGCTACAATCCAGTGATCAATAAAGGGGTTTCTAGAAATCTCTTTGCTACCTCATACAGAGGGTATAGGGAGGCTTAATTATGTGATCTACTGATGGAAGGTGTTATTAAAAGTAGTATGTCAGTACTAATTGTGTTTACAATATTTGATTACTATCTGTTACATGGTGCACGGGTAAGGACAGTACTAAGTTGTCAGGCACCCCACACTAACAGTGTGTGCTACTTGCCTGTAGTCCTGCCAGAGGAAGTTGTAATATAGATGGGACCCAGGGGTATTTAATTATCCAATCATCTCACCCTGTTTGCCATTTGGGATTAAAATCTGACATTGCTGGCTCCCAAGTTTATATTTAGCCCATGCTGACTCACTGTAATGGGATTGTATTATTTGGTATAAATCATTACCATTAACTGCTGACAAGAGCAAGAGTAACAAATTAATATTGTACTTCCACAGGCTGTCTGGCAAAACCTTAGCTGTTCTCAATGACTGTCTTATGCAACAGAGACTTCCCTTAAAGTAACTATTAGAATTGAGTTGTTGTTCCAGTATTGAGGGACTGGCCTAGTCCTATAAATATGTATTTTGTTAGCACTGCAGTACGCTACTGAAATGAAGGGGAGACTTGCCTTAAGCTAAAATAACAAGCCCCAGCTTCCTTTCCTGCTCTCTCATCCTCCCCTTACATTGTTCCAGTTACTGTATCCTAGAGAGGTTCTTATCACCATTATGTTTGGCTGCCATCCACTATTACATTAAACAGCACAATTAATCTCTGTCGCAGTGGCTCATTCTTTCTCCAAAGCTCAAATGGACCACTGGGTCGAAGCCGTGAGGCTGGCATCCCGTGACTTGCTAGTGCTCCATTAGCACTTCGATAAGTGTTTAAATATAATCCTTACCAATTGCAAACTCCACAAGAGTCTCGTTGTCCTCCGTGAGTGTGTCCAGGAACAAGTCAAGGACTTGAAGCTGCCGGAGATATTCATAATTCTTGGGATCATAGGCAAAGTTGGCTAAATTAGCCAGTACTTGTTCCTTGGCTTCTGCAACATAAAAGCAGCTTCAGATTCAGGAAAGGGACAACTGATAATGGGGACAAGCTATAACTGAATCCACTATGATGTGGTAGCAGAGTAACTATACTGCTGCAGTGTCCTACTTCGGCTCTAGAGCAGTGGTTCTCAAACTGGTTAATTCAAGGCACCCCATGGAAAATGCAAACTCACCTCGCGCTCATTTTTTTGACTGCGGAAAAAACAATCCAGCAATTCTTCTGTTGCAGAGAATTCGGAAAGACCCCAACAGGTCACAATGCTTTTGACGCTGTGGATTCCTATTTGAAATCTCTTGGGTTTATTTTGTGACTCCTGTAGATTTGTTATTGCAATGGCACCCTTATAAGGATCGCACAGCACGCTGGCTGAGAATCACTGCTCTAGAGGCTCACATTCAAGCCTTGCTCTTGGATCATCCTGAAGGCTACTCCCAGCTGGTACAGCGGGAAATGGGCACCTGGTCATTCAGGCTGTGGTGTTGAATGGGTAATGCCAGCCACATTGTCCTTTTGTGTGCTGCTGGCTGCTGAAGATGGTGTGCCAGTCCTGGGGTGTCACCCCCGCTATTAGACTGGGGCAGTCCACGCAGTGCACGAGGGAGAGCCGCGCAGAGCAGCCAGCTCTGACCCGGAAGCTCAGCAAACACCTTAATAAAATAAAAAGTTGCATCCCACAGTCTCACCTGAACTCTCCGTCACTTGAAACTCAGTGACAAGCGCCTGCAGGTATTCGAGCCGCCCCAGATCCATTGGATCCTACTGATCCTGCAAAGAGAACAACAGCGCTTGATTTTGGAGGGCCCTGGAGTCTCCCATCTTCGCTGCTAGATTAATACAAAGATGTTTGAGTGAGCGTTAAACAGTCCCTGGATTTTCTTCGGAGTCCCTTTAGACCCCCCAGGGGGATGTCACGGGGTCCTCTGGCAAACGTTAACCTTGTCGAGGCTTGGATCGGGCTGCCGCTAAACATGGCGGGACCGGAACAGGGCTGGGGACAGCTGCAGTTTCCCTGGCTGACTCCCACAAGCATTTTTTGCTCTCCCAGGACAAGTGTGGCCAACCTGCGTGGGCGTGCCATGCGAGCCGGTCAGCGGATGGGGCTGGGAGCAGAAAGCAGAGCAGCAGACTGGGCAGGGAGCACAGTGCTGGGAGCAGAAAGAGCAGCTGATTAGGTAGGGCGTAGAAAGCAGAGCAGCAGTTAGGGCTGGGAACAGAAAGCAGAACAGGCAGGGAGCACACCCCATGGAGCAGAAAGCAGAGCGGCAGGGGAAGGGCCCGGGGATGGCGAGACCTGCGCCGAGGCCCGTGAGAGCCCAACGCTGCCCCGCGCGGGGCCCGAACCGGCGGCAGGGCGGGAGTGGGCTCACGTGGGACAGCGGCTCCCCGCCGCCCCGCACCTTGCAGGACAGAGGGCGGAAGTGACGTATAGGGACGCTCAGGGAAGGGCGGAAGTGGCTGCCGAAGGCGCTGAGCCGGAAGTGGTTCCTGTGTCTCCGGGTGGGGGCGGCTTGTTCCTGGAGGCGGGAGCGCTGCGGGCCCAAGAGCAGGAGCTCCCACCCCCGGGCACTGAGAGGAGTTGGGTTTGGGCCAGGCCAGGTGTTGGCAGAGCCCTTTTACCTACTTCACATCACGGATTGCACCTTAGGAGGTGGTTGCCCTGAATCTGCACTGGGGGAAAGGTCTAGTACACACTGACTAGTACTCATTAGCTAAACCTGCCGGGGCACGGCTGCTTTCCTCGTTGAGGTGACCTCTTCATCTTGGCTTCTCCGTCTGGAAAATGGAATCATAATAATTCCACTTCTGTCAAGAGCTGATATACGAGGGCCCAAACGGCTCGGCTGTATTTTTGCATGCATGAGCATACGTGCCGCCTGAAGGAGTTTTTCTAACCTGTTGTTTCCGCTGGGTGGGTGTTGCGCACCTTCTGCCCAGCCAATAAGACGTGTAGCCAGTGTCTTTGCCTGATGGCTCACCCTAAAGTGGGACTGAAAATCTCAGGCATAAAACACCCAATCTTGACCCCTGAAGATTGCTTGGGGTGACATTCACAGCCCGCCTCCTGCTCTGAATGAGAGAGGGTTTTTTTTGCCTATATTTTTTGCTTGAAAAAATGAAGGGCCCACTCTCCCTGGTCAGGAGATGAGTACTTGCACTTCAGACTCAGCAAGTCGTGGAGAGTCGTTGCGGTTCTGGACGGTGGAGTCTTCAATGACCCTCTTGGGAGGGTCAGCATTTCTCTTCTGTGTTAGTTACCTGCTCACCTTTGTATTTCCCTAGTACAGACTATTTGTCCCTTGTCCCATAACTTCTCTGAATTGTTGGTAATCGCTGCATCGAGTCGCTACTAGGAGAACAAACAGCTTGTTCCCAGACTCATGATGTTGATCAGCCTCTTGGCAGGCCCGGGCAGCGCAAGATTTACTTACCCTGGACAAAACAGAAGTCTTTAATCCCAGCATCTCCCCCTTTCTTTACTTCAGTAAATGATTAGAGAAACGGATTTGAGAAGCAAAAATTCACAGGGAAGGGGCAGTGCGTGCATGGGTGGGAAAGGGAGGAATGATGTGTGTTTTTGAAATGTATCATTGGGCTGAGATGCTCAGGGAGTGGGAGAGGGAGGGAAATGTCAGAACAAGAGTTAAAAGAGAGAGACGAGGCAGAGACTGTAAAGTGGGAATAATACTGGCACCTCCAGATGTGAGATTGAGAACAGAAAAAGTGGAGTGAAGCCTGGGCTGTAACAGAAACATGGGAGGCCATGACAGGCTAGCAATACAGCGCCCTGGTTTGAATACAGAGTTGCATCAGCTTAACTGACAGTAATTTGAAACCGGTTAAAGTAAAGTTCATTTTTAAACCCATTTAAGCTAAATGAGTGCAGCTCCAGAGTGTGGGCAAGGCTTAACCTATGAAGCAGGGAACTCATTCCAGAGACAAATGATTGATGAAGCGAGTTAAATGCAGTACTGAGTTACACATCAGATGATGCCAAATGACCTGGCTGTAGCCAGTTAGATACGGTGGTACTTCTACCCAGGCTTATAGGTTGAGGACAAACCTATGCTGAAACTTTTGCTGGTGTCATCAGTGGTGGGGTTCACCTTTTTGAGGGGCCCTAGGTGGTGGGTCTGTTTCGGACCCTTGTGCTTTTTAAGCAACCAGACCAAAACTGTTGTAATGCAAGAAGGGTCTCTGTCCAACTTGGAGCTCAGTGCAGTTGCCAAGTTTGTACTCCCCCAATACCACCATGGATATAGTGATGTCAACCAAGTTGTTAATGACTGAGTTAGACACTTCTGTAGCAGCAGAAGCCCTAATGCACAGAGCCCTACCAGAAGAAAATGCATTCATTGGCATGGGTTATGTTATTTGGGGAGCAGGTCATAGCTATGCTGCAAAAGCACCTGTTTTGCTGGTCCAAGCTGCGTCTGCCTAGGAGGGCTTGCTGGTACGAGTCTACTGGGAAATCTTTTCTGGTGTGAACTAGATCTGTTGTCTTTGCTGAGGTTTCTAGAAATAGAAGTGGTGTGCAGAGGGCAGCAGTAAATTCGGGGGCCAGTGTGAGGCTGTGAGGGAGGGGGAAGCCCACTGAGGTGGGTTTGGGAGGTGAAATGATGCTGAAGTGAAATGGGGGGTGGGGGGGAGAGAAGGATGAGGGGACTTGGATTGAATGGGAGGGGAGGAAGGAGCAGGGAAGGAAGAGGGTAACTAGGTCTGAACTTGTGGTCCCTCAGTCTGTAATTCTGTACAGAGGAAAAAAGGAGAGGGACCATCACTCTTCTGTTCTTGCACATGTGTCTTGAGCCTGCGTTAGCTGGATTTGCTAGTACATGTTCTATAGGGATGCACTTCAGGTCACAGTATTTAATACTTAGCGAGTGGGAAAATCACTTATCAGCTCAGGGTGAGGGACCCAGCTTTGCTTGTCTTCCTGTGACCCACTAGCTCTGTTTTCTGAGGTCTTTCTCTTGCTTTGACATAAGCCCAGATTGATTTAGAATCAGAATAATGGAAATTAAGGGCTGGAAGGGACCTCGAAAGATCCTTGAGTCCAACCCCCCTGCTCTGGGCAGGAATACTACTGAGATCAAATGATCTCACCAAGGTGTCGGTCCAGTCTCCTCTTGAAGACTTCCAAGGTTGGACACTGAATCACCTCCTTGGGAAGTCTGTTTCAGATTCTGGTCACCCTTACCGTAAAGAAGTTCTTCCTTACATCCAACCTGAAACATTCTCTAACAGTTTATGGCCATCGCTCCTTGTCCTCCTCTGGGGTGCCCTAGTGAACAGTTTTTCTCCCAGCTCCCAATGTACACCCCTTACATACTTGTAGACAGCCACTAAGTCCCCCCTCAGTCTTCTCTTCCCCGGGCTGAACAGTCCCAGATCCCTTACTTTTTCCTCACAAGGTTTGTCCACCAGGCCCTTAATCATTCTTGTGGCCCTTCCAAGATTGTCCACATCTTTTTTGAAGTGCGGCACCCAGGACTGGACCCAGTACTCCAGCTGGGCTCTCACCAGCGCTGAGTAGAAAGGAAGTATCACTTCCTTAGCCCTGCTCGTGATGCATCTGTTAATGCATCCCATATGCTATTAGCTCTGTTGACAGCATCGCCCTGGCTGCTCATGTTCATCCTCTGAGCATGAAGGTGTGTGTGGGGGGATGTTTTTGTGGTGGCGCTGCTACCCCCTGGGAGGTGGGTGAGACAACGTTCACCTGGCTTCTGAGTTGGAGAACTTTAATGTAGGATTTGCGGGAGGCTGACACACAATACTAGTCACATTCTTGACAAGACCTGTTGGGAGAGTGGGTGCATTTGTCCCCTTTAAGCTGGCTCACTGCCATGGTTTTCTTTAGAGACCACTCAACAGCATACAGAATTGGATCCCATGAACTCATCTTTTTGGCATGTGACACTTGCTGTTTATCTTAGGGATTGTTAGAGCCTTTCTGACTGCTGTCCCTGCCAGGTGTTTGCCAGGACAGTTGATGACAACCAGGATGATATCATGGAGGAGGCATGTACAGGGGTAGCCCCTGCAGCTGCAATTCGGTGAGTTTTAGGTTGTACCATGTGTGTATCACCCCAGGCTCCAGCGTGGCAATCTAGGGACGGGCTTGATTCTACAGTCATTAGTGCCTTAAATACAGCTGGAATGATACAGATTGTGTCTGAATGCCACCCTTCTCAGCTCTGGTTTTTATAGGACCGCAGCAATGGTTCCATTGGTTAAATATCAGTGAGAATGTGAAGTTTGATTAGAATCCTTGAATATTTAAGTCTGAACTTCCTGGTTTGTATGCCACAGCCGTACACAGACACGCTTACTGCAAAAGTGCGGAGGAGCCCAAAGGTTGATGAGACCTGCAGAAACAAACAGAGCAAAGGGGCCTCGGAGGGGGGGGTGTCCCTGGCTAATTCTCCTTGTTCTGCCTAGGTTCTAGTAGTTTATAATCTGGTTGAGGCACTAGTGTTTGTATATAATTAAAGCTGATTTCAGTTTGACTGTCTATGGGAAGTCGGTAAAAACCAGTTATGCTTGGTAATTAAGTGGGGCTGCCTTGCATCATTGGATGACCTTAAGCTAATGAAAGGAACCTTTGTTATGGGTTTCTTTTTCTTTATGTTCTCAATCTTTAGAGCTTGTGGCCTCCCTTTCCTGTTCTCCTGTTCTCCAAGCAAGGGGGACTTTTTATTATGTTTTTGCCACCTGTGTGCATGCCCCTTAGCATATATACACAGGGGGAGACCCTACTCAGGTCTTTAGGTTACAACAGGAGGCAGAAGGGCTGTGGAGTGACAGGGCTGAAGGATGTTAACGGCTGCATCTAAAAGGGTAGCTACAGTGATCAGCTATAATCTAAAGAGAAGTGATTCCAGATCCTGCTAATTGGGAGAAGAGAAACAGAGTCCAGGCTGGAGCCCAGGAGCACAGTATGCCGTTCCTAATCAGGAATTTGATGCATCACCTATTAACTCTGTGCCCCGCACTCGTTCCCCCCACCGTTCCCACTGAAAAGGATGAAAATCAACCTCTGGGGCTGGTTTTGTAACACAGGACTAGCAAGATGGTTCTTGACACCCCTGTTCACTTTCTGTCTTAACCTCTTTGCTGTTATGTCCTGCTGAGCAGTTACTACAGGCCAACCCATCACTTCTTTCCAGTGCTGTCTGCATTGCTTGACTCTTGAAGGACAAGAAGATGCCTCCTGGGACTCCTTGCTGTCTGGCTCGAGGCAGTTTTGATAGGTTCCAGCCTAAGCCTGTATCATGTCCATTTTGGCCATGACAGAGAGACTTTGAGATCATGCGATTCTCCCTCCTGAGGACAAGGTCAGCTGGGAAGGAACAACCGGAAATGTAAAACATTATATTGAATACAAACATCGCTTGAAGCACATGCTGTTGTCTAGCTCCTTTATTTATTGAAGCTAGAACAGGGTTGAGACTTGGTCCTTTCTCATTGATTGGTTCTAGTGAGGAAGAAAATCCACACATTTCCTTGGTATGAAACAGTAGTTGTGTACAGTCAGCTGAGTGACACTAAGTAATTGCTTTGCAGTTATTGACCATCTGAGCTTTATGGAAGTTGCTGAAAACATGCAACTAGAGATAAGATGCCATCACTTCTAGGAAGCAAAGGGCTACATGTAAATCTGGCAATAACCTTACTTGAGGAGATGTTTGATCTAGAAGTGTAAAGTATGTTATGCTCTAGGGATCCTGGACCACTATTAAAATAGGCACTTGTTGACAGTGGAAGCAATACATCATGACCCAACAGGGTTAGTTACAGATACCTTCATAGTCTCAGAAAGCACAGGGGGTCAGCTTTCTAGTGGTTTAATTCCTTGGTTTCTAGGTTTGGCAGGCGGGGACCCCATAATTGCATTGGTCTCAAATAGCAGCTTTGGTTTTGTCACTAGAATTGAAGTCTTTAGCACCTTTTATCCTGGGGACTGCTAGAGCAAGTCTTAAAACCATTTGAAAGTGGGGAGATTCTCGTGCTAATCTCCAGCTCCAGTGTTTTTTGAGAGGGCTGCTACCCTTGAATCAGAACTGAAGTGGGATAAAAGCAAAGTTCATCATCAGGACTATAGTGCATGGAAGAGCCAGTGCAGTGGCTGCTATCCCAGGCCAAATCCAGAGAAGAGGCTAAGATGGCTAAGTCAAAGCTTGCTTCAGCATGACTTCAGACTGATCTAGATTCCTTGGTGCTCATGTGGACTCACCCATTCAGCAGCAAGAAACTCGTACCCACAGGTTACCTGTCCTCTGAATTTGGTCCATGGAGTCTAAAGCTGATGTAACATGCATGCTACAACAACAGAAGAGCAGTGTAGCAGGAAAGGCTACAAATTGGAGGTTGGAGTAAAGTGGAGGTTAAATGAAATTCCTCCCCACATACTTTTTTCCACTTCTTTTTATCTCCTCAGTACTAGGTTACATCAGTGTGGACTCGTTTATTCATCAGAAAGTGGGTGTCATTAACTCCAAGCATCTAGGGTTGACTTAGGTCCATTTATACCAGAGAAGACCCTGACCTTCTGAGTGTTACATCAGTGCTGAAACTGGCCCTGTGTCTGGCAAGTCCAGGACTTTTTTCAAAGAACTGGTCCTGAACAAGGCCAGAGAAGGAAATGTCCATCTCTAAGTGCTGCTCCTTTTAGTGTCTTAATATGTTTATGCTGGCCATAACTGTCAGATCCTGTCCTACAGCTCTTTTGGGCAAGGGTGTGGAGGAAAGCACTTGAGAAGTAACTGGCTATAAAATGCAGGCACTCTGAGTCTGCCCTGTTTCCCTGGGGTTTGGTTTGAAACCTTTGTTTCCCTGAAAATGCCCTTGAAATTCAAGAATGCTCATTTTTTGGTCATTAGCTCGTAAGAAAAACCACTTGGCCTAGATGTGATTGACAGAAGAAACTTGCCTGAGTTCTGCATCCCGTATAACAACTTCCACATTCAGAGATGGGGGACATGGCAGAAGCGTCTCTTCCCCTGAAATGAAAGTGTTTCTCCCAGCCCCTCTGTGGGAGGTGGTTAAGTGTCACTTCTGGTCCTTGCCAGAAGGGTGTGTTCAGACAAGGTGACTTAATGTGTAACTCGTCCAGGACTGATAAATGTCGCTGGTGTCAGGAAGCTGTGGTAGTGCAGAGGCCGATGTGCTAATAGAGCTTTTCTGGTCTTAAAAACAGCTGTACTTGAAAAAGAAATCGGCCTTTAAAAAAAAAAAAAAGTCATAGACTTGAAGCTAACTAGATTCAATTACCCATGATGTCACCAAATGACTTCTGTCATTGCCTCGTGATTCGCATCAGGCATAAAAAGAAAGTGCTGTCTGTTCTTTGGCTTGCAGGCTGACGAGGGGTGTTAGGGTTCAGTCCCTTCCTCTGGGTCTTCTGTCTGGAAGCTGACATACATAGTCCCAGCAAGTGGAAGCTCCCGGCAGGAGGAGGATGGGTCACTGTGAAAAGCAGGCACTTGTTTCCTACCTGCCTCCACTTAAGTTGTGTGCACGTGCCCTGGAATTCCTTGGGTTCCAGTTTGTTCAGATGCTGGTGATATACATGACAGCAGGAGGGGCCTGCCCCTCTGCCTCCGGCTTGCTTGGCACTTCGGTGTACTGGTATTTGGAGGGACTGTCTGCAGTCACCTTTGGGGCCTCTTTCAGCTTATTCTTTTTCTCCAGAGCACAGAAACTGAGCCCCATGAATAGCGCAGCTGACACCATGAAGAAGCTGGAAGCATAGAAGACGTAACTGAATTGGCCAGTTAGGTCCACCAGGAGACCTGAAACAGAGAACTGGGGCTTAGCCAGACAGTAAAAGACAGCATCTTACACTTCTATAATGCCTAGGACTCCAGATCATCTGACAAACAGCAGTGAGGTCACCTCGCCATCAAATGGAGCTGCCACTGGGGTGGAACAAAGCAGCTGTTTAACAGCTCACAGCAACACTACTAAGCCTGGTAAGACAGGGAAGTAATGGTAACTTATCCAGGCAGAGACTATGACCCCAGGCAGGGAAGAAGAAATGCCTAAAGGAGAAGTTGGAGCATGGGCTGATGCAGACGATATGTCTTTTTTTAAACCCTAAATTAGCTGCTTTGGTAAAAAAAAAACTGCCCTGAAAACAGCCCAATAGTGAGCTCTGCCTGAAGTAGGTCACAGCCTAAAAGCATTCATCCATGGGCTAACTTCTCCCAAGTACAGATGCTGGGCTATTTTTTTTAATAACTTGGCTGACTCTTTCTGCAGTTATATGAGTGTTTGCTCAATAGCAAGCCAAGTCAGTAAAGAGGGAAAACTCCCAACCAACTTCAACCTCCTGCAATTTATTTATTCATTTAGTTTCCTCAGCAGGGGGCCTTAAAAATTGCTAGTAGTCACTGGATATTGGAATAGGCTAATTCCCAATCTGAGAATCCAGCAAGCTTCAAATACTTGAAGGGCTGCCATAAAAAAGGGGGAAAGCACCTTCTCTCTTTTGCTGCAGAGAGGAGGATGCAGACCAATGGCTTGAAGTTGAAGAAAGTAAATTTAGATTGGATATCTGGGAAAACTTCTTCACTGCTAGAACTGCGAAGCAGTGGGATAGATGCCTGGGGCAGCTGTGGACTCTCCATCACTGGAGGGGTTGAAGAAGAGGCTGGACAGCCACTGGTTAGGGACGATCCAGGTGTAGCTGTGTCTATGTTCTACTATAGAGATTTCCCAGGCTTCTGGGCTTTAATGGTTGCCCCTCCCAGCCCCCTTTCATTCTGCTACATGTGTTTTTAAGCCTTCCTCAGATACATTGGGTGTTGGCTACAGCCAAGGCCAGGGACTTTGACTGGGCTGTGCCAATGCTCCTGTTGGAACCAAAGCCAAAGGTTCCTGGCTAGGGGGGGTCTTGCCCTCCCACTCAGGGTCAGCTTGATCACCATATTTGGGATCAGGAAGGAATTTTCTCCATGGTCAGATTGGTACAGACTGCAGGCAGGGGTTGGTCCTTTGTAGCATGGCCTTGGTGGGGCTGGCCCTCTCCTTGGGACCTCTTCAGCATATATTGACATTTCACAGCAGGATGTTGACTGCTGTGGTTCTGCTTTACCTGTTGCAGGTTTAGGTGTTAGGTCTGTGTTGCGTCAGGGTTGACGGTCATTTTATGTAGAGCTTAGATTACAGTTTATATGGGATGGTTTGGATAGGGATGAACCTGCCTCAGGCTGGGAGATGGACTGGATGACTTCTGGAGGTCCCTTCCAGTCCTACTTCTCTTTGATTCTACAAAATCTGAAAATCTCCTTGTTTTGCTTCTAAACTGAAACCCTCCTTCATGAACAGGTATAGTCAGGGAGAGCAGGATTTGCAGGTAACAAGACTAATCCATGTTTTTAATGCACTGTAAATATGTAGAGCCTTTAAGACAGGCAAGCTAGGGTGAGCCCCATTCAAATGCGGACAGTTCATGTGTGTGAATAACTAACCTTTGTTTTAGTTGGAAACAGGCAATATTCAAGGGATATTACAGTGTGTCCTCTCTGCCCATTACGGTACATATACATGAGGGAAGCTGAAGGAACAGTCATTATCCAAACACTGAATGTTAATTAATGGCCCTTTCTCTTAAAATGAGTGTCCACACCAAGCTCCTTGAGTGCAAGTGTAAAGTGAGCAACAGGAAA